TCAGTGCGCAATCGATGCCCGCCTATGAGAGCCTGGTGCAGACCTTTGCACTTGCTGTCGGATCCCAGGATAAACTGCAGGCTTTTGTCGACTTGCCTGGCCTCAAGAAGGCAGATGCCTCAACATCGCCACAGTACCTGTCATTCTTTATCCGCACTTTCTCCGGCTCGTACCCCATTGGCACCAGGATCACCGCACTGAACCAAATCTCGTCCCTCCTTACTTCCGCTAGTCCCGATGTCGATCTTCAGGCACTCCTGCCATTCCTCCTGGTTGCTCTGGCAGATTCCTCGGAGAGAGTTCGGCGCGAGGCAGCGGGCGTTCTTGCCACAATTGGGAGCTTGTACAAGAAGAGCAAGAAGGGTGACGCCAACGTTTGGGCACGCGACACGATTTACGGCAAACAATCGAAGAATGTCCAGTGGATAGCCGGCCGCGATGTGCAGAAGATCATCGAGCGCGCCTTCCTTCCCGGCCTCGAGGAATATGTCCTCGATCAAGCCCACATTAGCCGGGTACTTGAGGCCACATTGCGCGGATCTGCAACATCCGACTCTGGCGCAACGGAACTGAAGAAGCCCCTTCGCTTGAGCCTCTTCACCTTCCTCTGCTCCCACGCTGTGCAGATGCCCCTCTATGCTCCAAAATTGTCTTTGCTCAAGCTTCTTAACCGCGTCGATAAGGCCGGCGGAACAACCCGTACCAAGGAACTTGGTCCGTTCTTGAAGACGTGGCGGGATATGAAGGAGCAGACAGCCAAGGACGTCTGTGAACGGGAGCGCGTGTCTGTCGCAGATGTCGACCGAGAGGCTGTCTTGACGGTCACCCCCAAGGACAAGGACGCTATTACTTTGCTGTTGTCTAATGTTAGCCCCTACTCGGATTCCCTACGGCCCTCTTTCGTCACAGCCATCTTCAACCGCATGAAGGCTGTTTGGGGGACTGTTCCGGAGGAGCTGCAGGTCGACGCCGCAGAGAAGCTGTTCGAGATCTCTCTCGAAGATGTCCAGACTCCACTGGTTCACGGCTGCAGGGAAGTTCTTCGCAGTGTTGAACTCACCGGTTCTGTGCTTCTCCAATTCCTTCGGAAGATCCCCGTGTCTATCACGGACATGGAGTCTCTTGGACCGGCGCCCAAGCGGAGACGCACTAGCCAGAACAACATGGTCGCTATGACCATCAAGGATGAAGCCAAGCTGAGCCAGCTCATGGAGAAGATGACTTTCATCCTGGAACTGGTCGACAGCTCGACCCCTGAGGCTCATCCTGAGTTGGCCGATGGATTGTTCCAGACTTTGGCCGCACTTCATCATTTCAAGGCTCAGATCCAGTCTGGCTTGAGCTACTTGCTGAGCTTGACGCTTGGCAGCCTTCTTGCCATCGTGAATCGGTCCAAGGGAACTGCAAAGGCTCAGTTCGACACCTCCGTTATCCGGGCCGACCTCGTTGTTGACTGTGTTCGTACCACTGACAGCCCGCAAGTACAGAACGCAGCTCTTCTGCTCGTTGCGGGCTTGTCCGTCATTGCTCCTGAATTGGTTCTCCACAGCGTGATGCCCATCTTCACCTTCATGGGCTCTAGTGTCCTGCGCAAGGACGATGAATACTCAGTCTCCGTGATCGATCAGACAATCGATCAAGTTGTCCCCGCTCTCATCCAGTCCCTGCGCAATCAGAAGCGTGATGTTGTGTCCGGAACTTCCGAGTTGTTGCTCAGCTTCACTGCTGCCTTTGAGCATATTCCTTCTCACCGCCGCCTGCGTTTGTTCCACGCTTTGGTCACCAAGCTCGGAACTCAGGAGTTCCTGTTCGCGGTTCTGGCCATGCTCGCCAATCGGTATGCTCTAGATAAGGATGTTCTCATCCTAATGACCGGGTTGGTATCTGATGCTAGTGCACCGGTTGAACTCAGCGTAAGTCATTTGATCTTGCATGCATCTTTACACGTCGTTGCTGACTCCTTCAATAGACATACAGCAAATACTTGGACCTGGTCAAGGATTCACTCAGCTCCAAGCCTGGTATCTCCCAAGTTCTTCTCGGCATTGGTAGCGACGATGGCCGCGAGCCCCAGAAGGTTGCAGTTGACTTGCTTCGTGCACTGGCTTATCTGTTCAAGCACTCGTCTCTGAAGGTGAAGATGGCCAAGGATTTCGCAACAGAGGAAGATAAGGTTGTTGGACAGATCCGCACACTTTTCTCTCGCATTCTGGAGCAGGTCCTGGCCATTGGCGAATCCATGCAGAACGTCAAGCCTGTCAGCCAGGCCAGCGGCGATGTTCTCAGCGCTCTGTTCGGTACCCTGTCGCTCGTGGACTTCCTCGACACGATTGAGGTGCTGCTGCAACGTCGCAACGACGAACTGCGTCGTAAAGTTCTCCGACTTCTGGAAGGTCGCCTCCGTCAGAACCCTGAACGCGACGGTGCCTCGCAACACCGCATGCTCGACTTCCTGCCCACTCTGGTCAACATCGTCCAGTCATCGCCAGACATTCTCCTTAAGCACGCTGCAGTGGCTTGTATCGATCGCATTGCCGAGAAGTACGGCCGGAAGGAGCCGACCAAGGTCATCCATGCTGCCCAAGTGGTTGCTAGCGAAGCCTGCATTGGACAGGATGATGAGCGTATTCGCATCATGGGTGTCTTGTGTCTCGCATCCATGGCCGAGGTCCTTGGAGAGGCCATGATTCCCGCCCTTCCTGACGCTCTCAGCCGTTCCCTTGCCCTACTCGAGCAGAGTCTGGAAGATGGAAAGGAGAATGCACGCCTGCACGACGCCGTCTTCTCTTTCTTCTCTGCACTTTTCATTCATATCCCCTTCATGGTGTCTGGCTCTCACCTGGACAAGATCCTTGTTCTCTCTTACAAGTCTGCTGTTTCTGAAGGTGTGGAGGATGAGAGCCGCGAAGAAGCTCTTCAACTCATGGCACGCAAGGTTGATGTGGCAGCTACATTCGCTGCTATCGATCGTAACTGGCAGCATGCCGTCAGAGCAGGTCCCGATGCTACGAGAGACACTCTGGGTGTCGTTAGCCTTGCTATTGAGAAGCACCAGAAGTCTGCTACTGTCAAGAACATCGCAGTTCTCACCAGCATCCTGTTCAAGGCATTCGACCTGCGTCGCGAACAAGTATCACTGGATACCCAGGCCACGTTTGAATTGTCTGATGTGGACGAGATTGAGGATATCATCAACGAAGTCACGATCAAGATGATTTACAAGCTTAACGACACGACATTCCGCCCCATCTTCACCAAGCTGCTGGAGTGGGCGACCACTGGTGTGCCCAAGAAGGATGCTCGAGGCAGCCTGGCACGCCTTACCACGTTCTACAGGTTCCTCCAAGTCTTCTTTGCTACCCTCCAGGTTTGTTTCTCCCTTGATTTCCCGACTCAACCTTGTGCTAACCAGTCCAGTCCATCGTGACCGGTTACTCGAGCTACATCCTCGAAAATGTGGTCTCTGTTCTGGGCAAGGCGAACCCGGCGAACCAGGACACCAAGAGCCTGTGGTTGGCCACGATGCGCATGCTCAAGAACTCCTTTGAGCATGACCAAGACGGTAGGTTTAGCCCAAATGTTCTCTGACGCAGTGTGCTGACTTGTTTAAGAATTCTGGCAATCCCCCTCTCACCTTACGGTGATCGCACAGCCTTTGATCTCTCAGCTCGCTCACGCGAAGAACTCGTCGACGGCATCCATCGTCATCGCGGAAGCCGTGCCCGCCCTTACGGAACTCGCCGTTGCTGCCGATTCCACCGACAACCACAAGGAGCTCAACACGGTGCTGATGCGTCTGCTCCGCCCCTCTGCCGGACCCAGCGGCAAGACCGCAGGCGGCGAGAACCCGCACACGCGCCTCGCTGCGCTCAAGGCCCAGCAGTCTCTCACGGAGCAGCTCGGCGAGGAATGGCTTGCTCTCCTGCCTGAAATGCTGCCGTACATCAGTGAACTGATGGAGGACGAGGACGAGAACGTGGAGAGAGAGGTCCGCAGATGGGTGAAGCAGATCGAGGATGTTCTGGGTGAGCGGTTGGACGACATGTTGACCTGATCGTGAGTACATTTTACTATCTAGACTTGGATGTTTGGCGTATCTTGGTTGGTGCTTGTAAATAAAAGTTACAGGACTTTTCGTCGCTTTCTGTTCGAGTGATCATATACCTGTTATATTAGACTATTGAAGCCTACTACTTTTGAAACTGTCTATACTTATCCCTTTCGACGTACTTACGACTTTCTGATCACTGGGTCTGTTCTCACCCCCGCGTCCTATGACTAATTGACCTATCCGAGGCCGCTTTCAATGTCCAGCGTATATTTAAAAAGAACAACGTTGAAGAGGGAATTACTACGCTATCTATGGAAGATACATGCCATCAATCTTGATAATATTTTACCTAGTATATCCCTTCTATCCCTCCCACTCTTTGCCATTTCACCTTTCCAGATTGGGAGACTTCTAGATTCCATCAAGTTGTCGAGGGATGCCTTTGCAACCAGTCAAGTCTTACCAGTATAGTAAATCCGCCTCTTCCAGGGTGTACCTGAGCATCCTACGAGCCGGTAAATATTTGCCTGTAATTATGATGGCCCTAGCCTCGTTAGCAGTGGCTCATGTCCCTTCTTACCAATATCTAATCGACGGAAATAACTGCCAAGACCACCTTCACCACCGAAAGCGGAAAACATACCCCAGATCCTTCTCCAACATGTACCTACCCCACCTCATATGCAAGTCACTTCAGTCATTTCATGCGGTATGCAGATCGGAGAAGGTCGTTTGACCCTTGTGAACACGTCAGTTTTGGGCATCCATACTCAACATCCGTTTTCAAGCAAGATGATGTCACCACCACTTTGTTCACAGTAACTGTTACTCCAAATGCCCTTTCAACAACCCCACTATAAAGGGGAGCAATACCCTTTCTTCTATTCTAACCTTAATCCAACTTCCTGATTACCCCAACTGCTCCAGAGAAAGCAATCAACCGCCCATAATGCAACCCCTCCTCCTCCACGCACACGCCACGGGCCCCAACCCCATCAAAATCGCCATCGCCCTCGAAGCCCTGCAGGTTCCCTACAACGTCAAACTATGGGAATTCGGCGACGACCGAGAAAAGGGTGTCAAGGGTGAAGTCTTCCTCAAGATCAACGAGAACGGCCGTGTACCAGCCCTTGAAGATCCCAACACCGGTGTGGTGTCCTGGGAATCGGGCGCTGTTTTGAACTATGTCCGACGAATCTATGACAAGGACAATCTTCTGGGACCGAAGGGGTCAGAGCAGGATAGAGTGGACTTCGAAAAGTGGGAATACTTTTTGCTTTCGACGCTCGGGCCGATGACGGGGCAGACGAATTGGTATAGGTATGTAGTTTTCTTTCTATACTCATTCAGGATATGTGAGAAGGGATTTTGGATATCCTTGCTGACAAGGATCAGGCACTACAATGGAACCAAGAACGAGGACGCCCTGCAACGGTATGCGGCGCAGACAGAGCGATGCTATGGTGTGCTGGAGGGCCAGCTGAAGAAGTCCGGCGGGCAGAGTGTCTTGCCTGGACGGATTACAGCCGTTGACTACCACTTTGAGCCTTGGGTGCGAGAATTTGATTTTGCCGGACTGTCGCTGGAGAAGTACCCTCTTATTACGCAGTGGTTGCGGGTGATGACTGGTCGGAAGGAGGTTCAGCAGGCTTATATCAAGATCCAAGGGGCTGCGCCGGAGTTTAACTAATGTCGCTTTGTGATGGCTCTCTATCCCACCGGCTCGGATGTTTTGAGAAAAGGAATGATTTACGCTGTATTGCCTTTTAACTGAAGATATCCGTATGTAGGTTCGGGTCCGCGGAGGAGGAAGGAGACTGTAAACAGAAGCCCTGTAGAAGAAAGAGGCAGGAGCAGTGTCTTCTGGCGCTTGAATCATCAACGATACATCGGATCAAACCCTTCTGCACACAATTTTTGATTCTCGCAAACCTTTTAACTGTTTTCATTACTCCATTCATTTGAAATCATACTTATAACCACATTATGGAAGATATCGATACCACCTCCTCCGGAGGTAACAACCAAGGCGAAGATGCCGTTCTCAACACGTTCGACCTCTATCTCGACAACGTCGACGAAGCCACCAATGTGCCCAGCGAGATGACACACAGGAAAGAGTCGCCCCTTGACGAAGAGCTAGCCCAAATAAGACTACCTGCGAGTTTCAGTATGACTCCGCCCATCTCAACTTTCATCGAGAACTGGCTCACACATTAGGCTAATCTCATACAGATGGCCTCATGGACGATTACAGTCTAGCCCTTGGAACAGGACACGAGTGTGCGGAAATGGCGTTTCCCAGACTAGATGCCATCCTCTTTCTCTTGCTAGCCGAAATGAAAACGAGATATCCCACGGCCTTGCAACCCACCGATTATACACCGAGCTTTTTCAGTCAGGTTCCTCTTGTTGTGGACCGTCGGGTTGCGGGGGTCCCTGATTCTTATCAGGAAACAGTGGACTACATGCTGTGTTATGGATCGATCCCGGCCTTGGAAACGAATCTTCTGGTGTTTAGGGATAAGGTGCTTCGTTCGGATGCGAGGACTCGCACGGCCATCTGTGAGTTTATTCTGCTATCATTAGGAATAGAAATATGTTCTTTACATCTTTCACTTACATTGAAATCAGCGGTGATTAATCGGGTTCGGAGGAACAATCGCTTCAAGGCAGCCATCTATGGCATTTACACGAATTCCTATCAATGGACCTTTCTGAATTACGATGATAATGGAGTGGTATTATGACCCCCTCTTTCACTTGATCCATCCGCTTAGTTCGAATCTTGATAAGCTAACGGTATTGCGATAAAGTGCGCCGTTCTAGAGCTGCGGTGGAAAGAGTCCCGGCAAACGATAATTTCTCGCATCTGCAAAATATATCTCGAGGCGATCGCTTTGGCTGCCGAAGCGAGGTAAAGCAGATTGAAGTTCTTGAAGCCCAGAGTCATACCAGTATTCCTGATGATAGTGTCTGCGTGTTTTCAGCGCGTCTCTGGTAGTTTAGTTCAGTTTAGTTTCAATCCATATTCTTTAACCTAATGCAGCCGCCTGATTGCGTGATAGCTATATAAGTAATCTTTCCTGTCTAGTATCAAGGCTTCCTAATTCTATAATAGAATTGTAAATGAATGAATAGATGCTTATATAGAATCTAGAAGTCTCTATACAGGTAGATACTACAGTCTAATATTCTTATAAATTCGAGACTGGAAAGTGATCAAACATATTGCATTCTGAGTGTAGGAAGGTGATGATCTTGATCTAATTACATGCGTTCCGAAGACGTAGAGATAGAGCGCCTATCTTCTTCTTTGGGAAGGTACTCGTTGCAATCAGAGTCTACTACTCAGAGAGAACGTGATCGTGGAGTCTAGTTATTATTCATGTCCCTTCCACCGCCGGTCTATACTGAGTGCAATAACTCATATAATAGGTCGCCGCATGTATTCTAGTCACTCAATTCGATTCAATTCAAACATTCTTATACCCGATCGAGCCGGCATAGGTAGATGTCAGCTATGCAGGTGCTTCACCGTTTGAAGCAAGGATATGGCCCCGAACGCCTTCAATGCCCTCAAACTTGCAGTGAAAACACGTAGAACTCATAAAGCAACATGTGCCACGACGTAGGGAGGTCGTCGTCATATCTAACACAATCAAACAATCAAAGCAAAAGCAAAAGCATAGCCATACAACAGTAAGAATATTAAATAAGTGTCGCAGCCGGCTGGCTGCCTGCAAGCCACCACCATCCTCTTCGTTCTTCGTCCATTATCTTCCTCCGTCCCAACATGCCTGTTCCTTCTGCGCGCTTTGTCTTCCCTGCTGACTCAAACAGAGCGTCTTTTGTTCCCTCTACCCAGCGTCTTCAGCGTCCGTCCCCATGGCCCTGAGGCCGGAGTGTTCCTGGCTTGGGTCGGGCACTGCCTGTTCAGGGTCAGAATGAAGTTCGACCTGGCGGAACTGCCCAAGTAAACCTGTTTGCAGCATGAATTCGGCGACGTAGCGGATCGCCTGCGGGTCTTGTATTCTAGTCATCCGATGACGATTCGAGTGAAGATGAGGTTGTGTTTCATGGCAAAAGGCAGATCCCCTTTACGAACTAGCTCCAGGGCTAGTTCTCATCTAGTCAGCGTATCTAGCTACATTAAGTAAGACTTCATGACGTGATTTCATCTACTGATAAAATAAGTAATTAAAACACCTAGTCTCCTATTCAAGTAGTAACAATCGGTCCTCTGAGCTCGGGTGACCCGTGCTATACCCAATAAGGTAAAGAGCGAGAGTACAGGTAGGCTTTGGGGGGGTATGTATAGTATCTTCCATTCACAATACCAACGACTATAATCATTCATTAATTAATTAAAGTATAATGGGATTCCATTCCCTAATCAAAGACTATATGCAATGCAGGCCTGGTATATCAACATCATGCTGGGTATCCCCGAATGACAAACTTTTTCTGCTCATACTTTGCAAACCTGGGTATATTGTAACCACATGAAACCAAAACGCCAATAGAAACAAAAGAACGTAACATCTGGGTCCACCCCTGGGAATTCTGTGTTGCCTTGGCAGCAACGCAGTAGCAGGGCGCCCCTAAACTCTAACGCTGCCGGAGTTGGATACCGATGGTGGTAACATTCTCGAGCGGTCAGGAGGCAGGTTAGAAACCTGGACAGACGTATACGCGGGTGGTGCAATAGGGACGAGCTCGGAGACAGATGGGGGCGCAATGCTGCGCGGGCTGAAAAACTGCGTGTTCACTTCATCCTGGGAGATGTCGACCACGGTGCCCTTAGCGCCGGTGCCTGGCTGTGCTTCGCAGGTCAGCTGAAGTGGGACCTTCAGGGATGCAGTGGGTGTCAGGATTCTAGAATTGGCGGCGTGGTAAGAGATGCTAAGTTCCAGGGCGTAGGCGCGCGCGATCAAGCAGGAGTAGAACGTCGGCACAAATGACTTGGATTTGGGGAGGGTGACTGGCACAACGACCGACGCGGTATAGTAGGTGTTTCCGGCGAACGAAGCAGAGGGACCCGGCAATGAGTCAGTAGACGAGGTTGAGTGCATGGAGTCACGGCGTTCGAGATCGGTGTCGGTGTGTTTGGTCCATTGTGCGGATGCAACGCACATGGTGGACAGTGGTACAGTCTCGGTGTACATTGCGCGGCCCATCTGCGCCCAGGATTTGATACACTCCGCGGACGGATAATCACCCCAGGGATCAGAGCTGTAAAAAGTCGACACTCGGAGTTTGCTCCATACAGTTCCTAGGCGAGGGGGCTGCTCGTTGCCCACCGGATCGAAGCGTAGCTGCATCGTGGCAACGGTGCTCACCGAATCGCAGTTCCCGGTGTCGGATGGACTCAACTGCACTGGCTTGGGCTGTGCCGCAGCCAGCACTAATCGGCCCAGTTTCCCCCTCATTAAGCCACGTTTCACATCCTTTTCTTTGCGGACGCTGTACAAGTCATCATTGTCCTCCACATTGAGGGGTGGTTCCTCATCCACCGCAGGAATGACCCGCACCTTTTTCCCAACGGACACTAGCGTAACCGGCGAGGCGTTCTGGGCCATGGGCTTTCTCTGGAGGGTCACACGAACGAGATAGGAGATGCGGCACATTTCGGGGGCCATGTCGTCGATGACCGATTTGCGGTTGCTGGCTATCATGGGATCACCAAACGTGGGTGGCAGCAGCGTGTGCGATTGTTCGACATGCAGATTGGTTTTGGCGTGGTTACAAATATGAGGCAGTAGACGCTCAGGTACCACAAAAGTGAAAGGGAATTCGTAGTTGCGCCCGGGTTCAAGAACCCGGGGGGTGGGATATGCGGACTCATCGATGGGTTGTCGCAGTCGGAGGAATGTATGGTAAGCTCCAGTCCGGCCGGGCATCGATTGGCGCTCCACCGAGGTCCTCGATGTTCCTGAGCCTGTCAGTATGACTATATCCCTGGTATTCTCCTGATATTCTTTAAGGTAACATACCCTCGAATGTAATTTCTAGGTCATCAAAGCGAGTATCATGATCGACGGTGATGGTAACCGTACCCTTGATGGTATCGCCGGTGGTGAATGAAGGGACCAAGCCATCCGTTTGATTGGCGAGTATAATATCAACTTTAGGTCGGGAGCGAACCGTAAAGTTGGCAAGGGAGCTGGAGCCGCGCGTGATGATCGATGAGGTAGCCATTGCAGGTGTAGAAGATCCAATTGTATGAAATACAAAGGAACCCCGCGGTGGTAGCTGTTGGTAGTATAGAAGGGGATTGGCGAACGAATCACCAATTTACCCACGGGTAAGCAATTGGTAGGGTTGTAGTAGGAGACTGCAAATAATGGAGAAGAGAAATCTGGGCAGAAAGACTGCGGAGTAAAAGCTTTTTAATTTATTTAATGTCTTCTGAAAAAAAGGAGATAATAATAAATAGAAATCAGTAATAAAAAAAGAATAAAAATTCAAGGGTGAATGTAGGGATGGGGTGACTGGCAGTTGCTGTTGGGTAATAGAAAAGCAGCGGTGGAGCAGTCAAATGTTCGAGAACTGGATCTGATGCTGTTCAGGAACAACTTCCGGCTTTGTTTTCGAGTCTCTGGCTATTCTCGGGCTTGCATTGCATCCTGGCTTGAATATGTACTTTTTCACTTCCAACTTGACGATGCAAGAATCGCCTACTCTCCTCCTGCACTCCGTCCACCCCCCCTTCTGTGAGTCATGCTGAACATGCACGTGCACGTGGTGATTGCTTTGATATTCGATCCAAGGGGATGTTAGAAGCGGTCCAGAAACATGCGGGTTAGGGGACCGAAAGAACGAGAAAAAGCCTAAAAACGAAGCGCCCGAGCAAGCTGATAGGTCGACGAGCATCCTGCACGGAGACCGACCAATGCGATAGAGTCCATGGAATGAAGTCCGTGTGTGAAGTCAGTCGCTCGGGAAAGCAGCGATTGGCGGGCTCCCCATCGCGCCCTTTAATGACAACTGCCGACCAGCAAAGCCCTCCACGCCCTACAGCAAATTGGTTCGTAACCAGGTTTAATGCCCACCAAAGGAATGCGAATGACGCCAGTGCTAGCTGATCTTCCATGATTGTCGGTCTACTACTACTTTTACCAATTTACAGGGTTCTTCTATACGCGTCTATCCTCTTAGGAGTTTAGTTTACCTGCAAGAGTCTGGTCACAACAGCTCGAACATTCTTGATGAGCAGTCCCCTCGCGTGATAGTGGTAGATCTCACGCCATTGAGTTACGGACCTTCTGATCCTTACCGCGAAAGAAAAACCCCCCATCAGCCAGTCGTTTATTAGTGTTGAACTTCGTGACTTGTCAGCCTGTTCGTGTCCGAAGTGCTGCGACATCGGAGCGACAAAAGACCATCCAATACAAGTTCTCGGATGATGACGACGGATGGATCGAAGTCCACGCCCTTGAAGTGACAACGTTGGCAAGCCACCGGGGTAAGAAGCCCATCCCGATTGGCGCTGACCGCCGTGTGCTTCTGACCAGTCACTCTAGCTGGTTCGCATCGCTATTTTAGGTTGGCTCCGACCCTCGCTTGCTTTTATTCCAATGCGCCCTGACACAATTAAGCATCAAATTCTCGCGATGAACTATGTACTATCAATTTAAAACTAGCGACCAAGGACGAACTCGGCTTCTATAGATCCCACATCGGTTTCCCGGCCCCGTTCTCTCTTCATTCCGCACCCAAGCGAGAATAGCCGCGCCAGGTTTGCTCCAGACTTTTCCGCTCTTAACCGCTATCAGGGCCTGTTTTTTTCTTCACGGAAATTCCGCCTCCTGAGCTCGTGGAGCTCTTAATGGCTTTAAAATTTCTGGGACCTCCCGTTCTAATGTATGGAGTACCCGCTCTGGATCTCCGATTCCACTCCACTGGTGCCACCCTTCTGATGCTGTTCTTCGCCTAGAGACGGGCCGGTTGGGCGCTTTTCCGTCCCTGTTTTCCGCGGCCAACACGTATACCGAGGATGCTGTTCGCAGATTTTGCATCCTATATCAATAGGCTTACCACC